GGGGGGGGAGGGAAGGGTCACTGTCAGGGCTACAGGTTGGGGACCCCCTGGCAGTGCAACTGTGTAACGCAGCTATAGCTCCCCAATGAGCAAAGAGAGATCTGGGACCAGCGTTCCCTCTAAGCTGACTTAGTGTGAGCCAGCTCACAGGGTTTTTTTAGCTTCCGGCTCACACATTTCTGTCTTCGCTCAGGGAGGAGGGCTCCAGAGCAAACTGATTTATGCAGCAGCCAAATCGCTCGCTCACAACTTGAATGCCAGGCGCTCACAAAGTAGAATTTTTGCTCACAGGACTCCACAGCTTAGGGGGAGTATTGTCTGGGAGTGAGATCTAATGCATTGATTTGTTTACGCAGAAGGCCCTAAGTGGCTTGGGACCAGGGTCTTTGAAGGATGGTCTTCTCCCATACGATCTTGTCCAGAAATTAAGATCACAAGGAGAGGTCCACCTGACCCATCAAAGCAGCTCATCTTGTGGGCATACATGACAGGGTCTTTTCAGTGGTAGCCCCACGATTGTGGAACAATCTCCCCCGGGGAAGGTGTGCCTCATTTTCGATCTTTAGGAAGCAGCTGAAAGCTGTTTTATTTAGGACTGCGACTAAAGCAGTCTTAAATTGTGATTTTAAATTGTTGGTTTGTACATCTTTTTATGTATTCGATTTCATATATTTTATCTACATCGCAAGCCCCCCTTGAGCTCCACAAGGAAGAAAGGCGGCAGCTAATAAATCTTTCAGATAACTAAATAAGTAAGTCCAGAGTCCCACCTTTTAAGGGGGCCCTATCTGGGTAGAAAATCAGCCCATAAATGTTTCCATAAAAATAAAGATGTTTTGCTTCCCAGCATCCAGTATTTTGAGGGGCACCATGGACAGAAAGTCTCCCGATGCCCAGCAGGTGGCGCCATCTCACCGGAAATAAGCTCCCCGAAGCTCTCGCCGAATCCCTGCAGGAGGGACAAGAAGGATTCGGGGACCTCAAAGTCCGCAGGTCCCTCGCTTCCCGGTTTGGCTTGCTTGGTTCTGGAATGCGAAGTCCCTGGAGGATCAAGGAGGAGAAAGTATGAATGAGTGTGAGAGAGAGAGGGAACCAGCTGAATTCCAATGCACGAATTAAGAGAACGTAAGAGAAGCCAATGTCGGATCGGGCCAATGGTCCACCCAGTCCAACACTCTGTGTCACACAGTGGCCAAAACCCAGGGGTCATCAGGAGGTCCACCAGCAGGGCCAGAACTCCAGCAGCCCTCCCACTGTCACCCCCCCTCCAAGCTCCAGACATAAGAACATAACAGAAGCCATGTTGGATCAGTCCCGTGGTCCATCCAATCTATGTCACACAGTGGCCAAAACCCAGGTTACACCAGGAGGTCCACCAGCGGGGCCAGAACTCCAGCAGCCCTCCCACTGTTGCCCCCCAAAGCACCAAGAATACAGAGCATCACTGCCCCAGACAGAGTGTTCCCTCTGCACACTGTGGCTAATAGGCTCTGAAGGACCTCTGCTCCATATGTTCATCCAGTCCCCTCTAGTAGTCACCACCATGTCTTCCACTTGTTTATTTATTAAAACATTTCTGTGCCACCTGTCCTCATGGCTCAAGGCTGCTGTAGGGTTTTCTTAACCTCTGAGCCACCGCGGCCCGTTGTTCTAAAGCTACTGCTCATCAATTTCACTGGGTGCCCATGAGATCTTGTATTGTGAGAAAGGGGGGAAAGTCCTTCATTCTCTGCCTTCTCGAGTAAAGGGAAAGGTTCCCTTGCTCGAAATCCAGTCCAGTCCGACTCTAGGGTTGCGGTGCTCATCTCCGTTTCAAAGCCGAAGAGCCAGCGCTGTCCGAAGACGTTTTCTGTGGTCATGTGGCCGGCATGACTAAACACCAAGGCACACGGAACGCTGTTCCCTTCCCACCGAAGTGGTACCTATTTATCTACTTGCAATTTCTTGCTTTCGAACTGCTAGGTTGGCAGGAGCTGGAACTAGAGACGGGAGCTCACTCCGTCTTGCGGCACCCGGGTCTCGAACTGCTGAACTACTGACCTTCCACAGCCTGCAGTTCAGCGTCTTAACCACTTGATACATAATTCTGTAAATCTCTATCATGTCACCCCTCATTCGTCATTTCTCCAAGCTAAAGAGCCCTCACCTCTTTAACCTTCCTTCATAGGGAAAGTGTTCCGTCCCCTTCATCATTTTAATTGCCCTTTTTTGCACCTTTTCCACTGCTATAATATCTTTTTTGAGGTGCGGTGACCAGAACTGTAGACAATATTGCAAACAAATTAATGCATGCATACACACCGGACAATTATTTCAAGAATGCATGACATCAGAACACCGTTAACGTCGCTTGAATAGAATGCATGACATCGGGACCCGGTTACAACACTTAAGAACCCGGTTACATCACTTAAAGAAAAAGAGGCCTTGGCATGCAAGGACACTGATACTCCCCGAGTATTTCTAAAAGTCGGTGCACACTGATGGGAATGTAAACTGGCCATGGCACTCCAGGAAGAGATGGGTGGGGCAGGCACATACCAGTGAGGGTAAAGCCAAAAAGAAACTGTGCTGAGCAAAAGGGTTCAGACAGGACATAAAGAGAAGATGGAGCGGGGGGGCGGGGGGACCAGGGCCAATCTACATGTTTGTTGGTTTATTTATTTTATTAGATCTCTAGCCCGCCCTCCCCTGTGTGGCAAGGCTGATGGAATTCAGAGGAAGCATGTGGTATAGCCCTCCCCAGACGAGTCAACTTCAGGATGCAGGTGGGGGAACCACGCGTCTGCATGTTCCCCTATGTCACACAAGCCCTGGATCGGGGTCCCCCAACATGGTGCCCGCAGGCTCCATGGTGCCTGTTGGCGCCTTCCCTAGTACCCGCCAAGGGTTTTTAGAAAGCGACTGGGAATAGGTGTGGCTTTTGCCCAGCAGAGCTTCGGATTGGCCGTGCAAACTCAAAGGCATCCTTTTAAACAGATAAAGAGTTCCTGCCCAGAATGTCGAAGAGGTGCTGTTAAGAGTCACACGTAACCTCACTCTGTGACATGATTTCGTGGCTGGCTTCACCTCCTGCGGCAGACGTTCTGTGACTGTGCCCACCCACCTCGGGACAGGATTCCAAAGGTGCCCGCAGGCTCAAAAAGGTCGGGGACCCCCTGCCCGGGATGAAGGGAACTTATTTATTTATTCCACGGCACTTATGTTCCAACTTCTACAAGGAGACTGAAGGTAGCCGTAACGTAGCCAAAGACTTTCACATCCGGCACTGGCTTTCCGTTGATGTACTGGAACTTGTTTCTTTGGAAGAAGAAGAGATTGGATTTATACCCCACCCTTCACTCAGAGTCTCACTGAAGGTAGCCGTAACGTAGCCAAAGACTTTCACATCCGGCACTGGCTTTCCGTTGATGTACTGGAACTTGTTTCTTTGGAAGAAGAAGAGATTGGATTCATACCCCGCCCTTCACTACCCGAAGGTGTCTCAGAGCGGCTCACAAACTCCTTTCCCTCCCCCTCCCCACAACAGACACCCGGTAAGGTAGGCAGAGCTGAGAGAGCTCTTGACAGAAACTGCTCTTTTTCAAGGACAGCTCTTGTCAGAACTACGGCTTGCCCAAGGTCCATCCAGCAGGTGCAAGTGGAGGAGTGGGGAATCAAACCCGGTTCTCCCAGATTAGAGTCTGTGCTAGGGTTGCCAAGTCCTACTTACAGAATAGCGGGGGGAGTCCAGGACGTCCCCGGGAGTCTCCTTGCACAGGCACAAAGCACGCGCACCGTGGTGACATCACCCGGGAGTGACATCATCGCGACGGGCATGTTGGGGGCGGGGCCACAATCATTCGAGGGAAAGCCTCGAATGATAGAGAGTCCCCCGCAACGTGTCCGACGGGATGAGGTCACCTCCGGGGGACGTGTTCACGCCGGGCACGTCGCATGCTTTGGGGGTGCCCCCCCCCGGCACCCCACTCCAGGACGGCGGGGAACGGGCTTCTCGGCCCCCCAGGGGGACTTGGCAACCCTAATATGTGCACTTAGCCATGACACCAAACTGGCAGGGGGGGCAAACATTCGGCACTCTTCCCCTCTCCACAATTCTGAAGTGGCCTAGTGGGAGGAGGCTGTCCCATGTCAGTTCTATGAACCCACAGACCCCATTCCCATTAAAAGGAAAAAATTTCTTTTACTTCACTTGTCACTGCCTTTCTACGCCATTCTCCTTTCCCCCATGTTGCCCCCACAACAACCCTGTGAGGTAGGTTAGGCTGAGAGAGAGCGCAACTGGCCCAAAGTCCCCCAGCAAGCTCCCGTGAGCAGGGATTCAAACCTGGGACTCACAGATCCCAGTCTGACTCTCTGGAGGGGGGGGGGGGTTTGCATGACCATCCACACTTACCTAACACCTGGAGCCCCCGACCCCCGTCTGAACCAACTCGGGCCCCTCCCAGAGCCTGCAGGAGAGTCCGCACCACAAAGCTGGCGTGGGCGTCCAACGCGAAAGCCGACAGCTCCTCCTGCACGCTCCCGCCCAGCTCCAACACGAGGTCTTCCAGCGTCCCAGAATCCTCCGCTCCTTCCTGGATCAACAGCGGGGCCCTCAGCAGGGCAGCTTCCAGGATGTGGGCCCCGCAGGAGTGGCACGCCACCAGGCGCAGGGAGGGGGCCAGGGCCCGCAGCAGGCGGCACAAGCCGGCAGGCGAGGCAGAGGGCACCAGGGCCTGCAGGAGCAGAGAGCCAGCCGGGTCCAGGGACAAAGGCACGGGGACAGCCTCGGCTTCCTCCAGAACGTTGCTGACGAACAGAGCTGTGGACGGGAAAGGAGAGACACGTCACACGGAAGCACGTCTGTTCCGGGGTGACTGATTTATTATAAAAAGCCCCTACATGTTTCACTATGCAGTCCGCAACAGCTCCAGGAGTAAGTGAATGTTCTGATCCCCCCTGACAAAGCCTGCACAGCAAAACATGTGGGGACTTCGTATAATAAATCGATCATCTATCACCTGGCATTTTTTCCCCTTCTTGTTCACGTCTGTCCCAGGGAGGTGCGTCTGGCCCCCTTACTTTCATAAGAACATAAGAGAAGCCAG